GAAGTAGAAGGGAAAGAAAGTGAGGGAGAAGGGAAGTAGAAAAAAAAAAAGGAAGAAAAAGAAGGAGACGGGAGGCAGAAAGAGAGGAAGAAAGGAAAAGAAAGAGAGGAAGAAGAGGAAATGAGAAAACGGAAGAGAAGTGGTGATATATATAAGACTTATACAGACCGAAATCGGTCCGTATAATCCTAATTGGCGCGCCACACCAAAAAATTTCAATTTTTTCGGAAAAATTTCAATTTTTCCAGGAAAATTTTTGGTGCATTAATCATATTCAGACTGAAATCGGTCTGAATATAAATAAATTACCGCATAATCAATAAGATTCAAATTAACGGCAAAAATTTGGCGCATAAATTAATTACGGACCGATTTCGGTCCGAATATATTCGTAAAAAATCTTCCACTGCACATTTTTATTCTTTTCATTTAAGGACATTACCATCTTCTCGTGTTCTAAATCCATTCCTGCGAAAACCAATTGCATGTACATCGACCCTACAGTCCCTTGGAACCACAAAACCATCGATTGTCTAGCTGAATGTCACGCCCCAGAACCCAAATCCGAGGCGCGACAGACGCCGTGCACTCGTGAGTGGGTCCCACAAATGCACAAGACTCGGAACTTATCCAATTCACATTTGATACCACAAAAATCTAAAGATCAAATTTATAACTTCTCTGGTATCATAAAATCTCCAATCACAATCTAGCTTACAATATCATCATTTATATCTAAGATCCATATTCAAATTACAGGTAGCTAGCCTTCTAACTCGTCACTCCCCTTGGTTTCCCCGTCCTCGGTTTCGCTTCCTGAAATGGTGGACAAGGAAAACTATAAGATAACTCAGTAAGTAAATATGGATAGCCCTTGGGTAAAACTTTTAGCATGCCAGATAAACCATGTAAGTATAACAGAACTTTCACTGATAAACTGTTAATGCGGAAATCAAATTCGGTTCAATAACAAACGTTTCATGACAAACCGTTCATGCAGAATAAAACTCAGTTCAGTAGTCTCATCTATAAGTCATGGCCAGTGTTTAACACACTCCCACTGGCAGGCGTCAGTAATGGTACCACTGTTTACAAACTCCCACTGGCAGGCGTCAGTAATAGTGCCAGTGTTTAACAAACTCCCACTGGCAGGCGTCAGTAATAGTGCCAGTGTTTAACCCCATTGGCAGGGTGAACCGGTTCTGCAGAAATACATGTCGACATGTGCTAGCGTTTACAGCTTCCACTAGCGGGCGTCAATAATCATGACTATATCCGAGACAAAACCATGCAGGATTTCCAGAAAAATCCATAATTCACAATCAATCTCAAATCTCAGAAATAAACCGAAAAATTTCCATGTGCTCACGGATTTAACAGAAAACTCAAAATTTGCAAACTCTCAGTTCATCAAAACAGTTCAGCCAATTTCCAAATAGGCATGCTCAACTCCCGAAAAACAATGAAACTCTCATTTTCCTTTCAATCATGCTCAATTCCAGAAAATTAATAAAATCCTCATTTTCATTCCAATCATGCTCAATTCCAGAAAAACAATGAATTTCCCATAAAACCCATCACAATTTGCATTCCAGTTTAATCACACTCAAATGCCGATAAAATCAATTTAAAGCTTGCCACCATCTCAAAAACAGTTTAAAACATGCTTTAAAATCAAAGGGCTTTACCATAATTTACTTACCTTACTCGCACAGAACAGAAGGCTAACCCAAGTGCTACGCTGACAGAACTATCAAAACCTAATCACAATATTCCACAATTAATACCGCACTTCCACAAATTCAAAGTAAAATCATCATTAGCACTACCCCTAATCACAGTGCTATTTCTATCAATCTCCACATAACCGGACCTCTCCAAATTCATTCTTATATCACAAACTAAACCTTTAATTCCCCGTTAATCATTAACCCTTGGTGTGTGAACAGTGCCTATGAACAGTACCCAGTAAACAGTACCTCGTGAACAGTAACTTCAACTCCCAAATTAGCAAAACATAGCTAATTCACGGGGGTTTCACACAATTAACCTCACAACAACCAAATTAAGCTAGTTTCTACATGAATTAAACAAAACTCATGCTTAGAGGCTGCCGAACTTCCTCTCCTATTTCAGTAGATTTTCTCGGCAACACAGGGGCAACACTAAATGGACTAAACTTCAACAAGCATCAATCAATCAACCAATTTTCAAGGTTAGAGAGGCTAACATACCCGAATTCCAGCCAGCAGAAAC